CCCTCCCTCCCACCTCTAACTTCCCCTCCTACTACTCCCCCTCAACTCTCCTCTTTCTTTCCTTCAAACACACTAGCTTGTTCCCACCTCAGGGACCTTGCTGTCACTTGCCTGGTCTGTTTCCCCACCTACAGGTTCCTCATTCGGGTCTCAGCACAATGTCACCTCCTCCAAGAGGCCCTTCCTGACTGTCCTTCTAGAGTAGCATCTGTCCCAGACACCCTCCATCTCATCACCCTGTTTTGTTTTCTTTGTAACACTAGTCACCGTCTGAATCTCTCACATACACCGTTGGGTCACATGTTTATCATCTGTTTCCACGGGAACTCGCAAGGGTGGGGATCTTGGTGGCCTCCCCACTAATGTGTTCCCAGGCCCAGAACAGTTCCTGGCACACGGTAGGTGTCTGGCAAACATTTATTGAATGGATGAATGAATGAATGAGAGTCTTCTCTCCTGTGCTGTCAGTTCCTGGGAGTGCACACAGGTTCGGTTTGCTGTTATTTGGTTTTGCTCTCCTAGCAGGGTGTCTCAGCGCCAGCACCTCAGACAAGCGGACCAGAGAACTCTGTGTGTGGGGCTGTCCTGAGCATCATAGGATGTTTAACAGCATCCCTGGCCTCTACCCCTACATGCCAGTAGTACACACACCGCCCCCCATTGTAACAACCGAAACTGTCTCTAGACATTGCCAGATGTCAGGGGCGTGGAGATAGAATCGCCCCAGCTGAGAACCACCAGGCTGCTAGTGTTTAACACGTTGACTGCCACACTAAAAAAAAAAAAAAAATTTTCCCTGGGGCCACGGTGTTTCATTAAAACAAACCAATCCTTTCTAATTTGTTTTTTTTTTTATTGTTTTCTGTGCGTGAGTTATATGCAATGCAATCCACATTTTTAGAATTAAATTGTCAATATTAATTGTAACAATGAGAACATCAACAAGTTACGATTTTCACGAACCAACTGCAGGGTGTTGCTTCACGAGGCCCTGGGTTCAAAACTAACCTGAGTTAAACACAACTCACGTGACAGTCAATGTGTTAACCCAGCGCTGGGAGCTCAGAGGGCAGAGAACAAATGTTTTTTGACCAAGCTGAGAAGCCAGCCCTGCCTCTGACGCAGTTCCACCATATGACCAGCAGGTAGCAGCAAAGACCGCCCTTTCGGCAGCGTGGCTGCCCTCACTTTGCGGAAATGCTTTCTTTGCCCATCCTAGTAACTGATGCGCGACCGCGCTCACTCACCTCCAGGGGCCTTGTGAGCAACCCGCGCCGTTTACCCTTTTCCAGATTAGACTGGGAAGTCACAGCAACGACTTGAACCAAAGCTGAGTAGTACAGGCATTGGGGGCAGTGGGGAGGGAATCGTCTTGGGAATCAGGCGGTTCTGAATTTTACTCCCAGCTGTAAATTTTTGTCTCCTTATGACCTTGGTCCAGTTGCCTTAACCTGTTTGTGCCTCAGTTTCCTCATCTGTACCCTGCTTTGCTTATCTCCATAGTCCTCATCATTGGCTATGTATTTCACATGGCTCTCCTCAGTCATAGGCCAGCTCAGGGAGCAAGGGCTGGGAGTCACCACCCCTAGTTCAAGGAATGGCTTTGTGTCACGTGTCTGCTGACTGACTGGCACACAGAATAGCACAGATGCATAGTAAGTACCCCATAGCATCAGCTGTGATGATGATGACGACGATGACATCGGCATGAGAGTGACGTCATAGGATGATGATGTCATGGAAGATGATGTCATGGTGAGGATGATAATGTCATGTGAGGATGATCATGTCATGATGTTGATCATGGTGTTGTCATCTTATAACTCACACCAGTGGTCCCCAAACCTGCTGAACCATCAGCACTTCCCGGAGCTTTTCCTAAACCTAAGTCTCCCCAGGCCCAGGCCCTCCCCCGACACCTCACAACTCAGAACCATCCGGGAACAGGATCTCAGTCTTGGCTACATGTTGGAATCGTGGGGAGAGCTCTTTAAAGGCACCGATGCCTGGACTCCACCCCTAGAGACTATAGGATCGGGGATGTGGCTCAGGCATCTGAAGTTTTCAAAGATGCCCAGGTGATTCTAATGCTCAGCAAGGTGATGAACCTTCCCCATCACTTAACAAACTCCCAGGTGTTAGGAAAGGGTGGTTCCAGAGCGGCAGCAGCCTCACCTGTGAGCTCGTTAGAAATGTGAGTTCTCCAGCCCCACCCAGACCTCCGACTCCGACACCCTGAGGGTGGCACAGCCACCCGGTATCAACAATTCCTGCAGAGCCTCGGGCACGCTAGATGTGAACAGCCCTGCCCCGGGGGAACCTCACGTGGGGCCTTCATTCTGGAGCCCCCCATTCCCGTGGGCCAGAACGCCAGGATGAACAGAGGGATGGATTTTTCTGGGGGAAGAAGGAAAAGGAATGTTTAGGCCCTGAGGAGTACCCCAAGGGACTCTTTCAGCTTCCTACGCTAGGCCTAACCCCGACACCCCACACCACAGAACGCCAATGGCATACCCAGAATTGTTTTAGCCCAAAAGGCACTCCAGGCTGCGGCTTCCCCGGAGAGGACTCAATGCCCACAGCGCTGAGGAGGCGGGCACCCTGTCCCCAGAACCCCCACGGCCACGCCAGGAACACATCTTCCCCTGGCCACACAACTGCCGATGGTACATCATCGTTGCACAAAAGAACTGTTAATGGTGTGACCAGCACTAACGAAAAACCCTGCTGCATTGTGTGTGCCTGTGTGTGTGTGTGTGTGTGTGGCTTTATAAATCCCCTCTACTCAAAGTCAGCCCACAGCACAGCAGCAGCCTCACACAGGAGTGTGTTGGCCACACAGAATCCCAGCACCCCCACCCCAACTCCGGCCTACTGAGTCAGAGGCTGCATTGTAACAAGATCCCCGTGAATGTTTGAGCAGCAGTGGTGTAAACCCAACGCCGGGCACGCTCCTTCTTACCCGTTTATTGAGTGCAACTTCTTGCAGAGTTCAGCCGATCACAACAGGAAACTTGGTCCATGCTTATAAAGTTGTACGCAAGCACCTGTTTGAGTTCTAGTCCAGCTCTTTGCTCATCTCAGCTCTGGTTACCTGTTGCAATAACCTGAGCACCTTTGCACCTTTTAAAGCTAATGCTCCCCAGCCGCAGAGACGATGATTTAATTGGCCGGGGCGTGGGCCTGGGCAATTATTTAAATTCTCTGGGTGCTTTGCCATGGGCAACCGTGGTGGAGACCCACCTCACACGTTCGGGGGATGTTTGGGGACTCAGCAAATGAGGGTGTGTGCATTTCCCTGGGCTAGGACTTCACAGCGGAGAGCTGAGCTCAGGCGTCACTGCAGAAATAGTTTCACCGCAGGAGTGAGGGTGACTGAGCTAACATTTAGCATTCGGACTGAAGCTTCAGTAGGAAGATGATCGCCCAGGAGTTAGTAGTTGTGTTTTGAGGACTCGTCTTCCCTACTAACTGTGAGTGTGCGGATAAGGCTTCCCCCCCCGACCCAGGTGACTTTGCCAATGGCCTTTCCCTGCTAAGAGTGAGTTTGTTGATTATTCTCCTCTTCTTACAGAGGTCTCCTGACAATTATGAAATGACTCGTAAGGGGACCAGCACACTGACCACCTGAATGTTCGAGAAGATGTCTCAGCTTGGGGATGACTCTGTTTAATGTCTCAAAAGAGAGCCACTGATTGCCGAGAATCATTAACATCACTAAGTGACCTTTCCCAGTGGAGGTTCAGGATTCCAGACCAGATAGGCATGAAGCTGCTAGAGTGAGGTCGGAGGAAATTCCTCCACCACCTCGTGGCTGAGAACCCCAGGTCTCTGCTGTCTCCCCTTTGGGGTTTCCCACGGCGCCTTCCTCCCTGGATTGGGGGTCTTTTAAAGCATGAGGCAGTGTCCAGGATGGAGTATATCTCACACCCGATACCCACAGCAGCCAGCCAGCAGGAAGCCTGCCCAGAAAAGCTGTGTTAAATGACAGAGTCCTGGTCTTGAAGCAAGGAGTATGCCACAAGCTTGCGGTGCATCTTTGCACAAGTTACCTAACCTCTCTCATCACCCTTAACATTTCCTTAACAAAGAAGAGCTGATCCAAAGGACATGGGTGAGGATGAAATGAAGCCAGAGGCCGATGGACATTGCAATCTGTAGAGTTCTGCAGTGGATTAAAGGGTTGTTATTTATTTCAGGTGATGCCGGTTTGACGCTCCCTCAGCCCTCCCCAGGCCACACGGACACACATGCATGAGCAGCACACGGCACATTCCACACAGGGCAGCACGGACGGCACTAGGACAACAGCCAGGCCCCGGGCTCAGTCCACAGGGATTTGAGGGCTGGCCCCCTGTGCTCCCCTGGTGGCCTTTGAGGAAGAGGAGGCTGCAGCCACCGAGATGGGTTCATGAAGTGCCAGGCCTCCCCTCCACAACCACAACCTGGCGGCGTCTAGGCTCATATGGCCTGGTCCTGCCTCCGTCTCAGGCCGAGCACACGGGCTGCTGCCAGGAAGGCTGCCCCAGTGAGCAGCTCGGCGACGAAACTGATCCAGCCCAGGGCCAGGGACCAGCCGAAGAGGATGTCCACCTGGTCCAGGAGTGCCTTCTCCTCCAGGAGACACAGTGCCTGTCGGAAGGCCGCAGCTGAGTACGCAATGTAGATGCTAATCCCAGCAAGGGTCACTGAGGCTGCAGAGAAGGCAAGGGGAGAGCAGATCAACCCCCCACACACACTCTCCTCCTCCTCCTTGCCCTGCCCAACCATTACGGCCGGCCGAGACCCGGAGTCCTCGCTCCTTCCCACCACAGGGCCTTTGCCCATGCTGCTCGCCTGCCTGCGGCAACCTCCTCTCCCCCCGTCCCTTCCTGCCATCAGTAACTGTGATCCTTCTGTGTCTCAGCTCCTGCAGGGGTCCCGGGTTTGCCTGTGCGGTGACCCCACAGCACCACACAGCCGTACAGCCCTGCCCAGGGCACATCTGCAACTTTGCATTCGCTTGTGTAATCACTTAACTGACAACATCCGTCTCCCCCAGGGGGCTGTGAGTTCAGGGGGCAGGAGCCATGCCGGTCTGGCTCGTCCTCCATCCCCCAGCACCTAGAATGCTGCCTGGCACATAGTGGGTCTCCGGACGCATTAGATTTGAGCTGCACTATCCAGTATGGTAGTCATTGGCCATACGTGGCTATTTAAATTTAAGTCAATTAATGTAAATTAAGTTAACAACTCAGTCTCTCATTGGCACTTGCCGTGCACGCCTGGTTCGTGGCTCTCCCACGGCACAGACACGTCAGAGAACTTCTGCATCACAGAAACTTCTACTGGGTGGTGCTGGTTTCAAGATTTAGTCATTGGCTGAACTGTTAATGCCAATATCAACAATAATTGTGGGCGGCTGGAAGAGATCAGAGCTTCGCAATATTTTCATCTCCGGACATTGCTTTGTTTTCTCCCTTCGTGGATTCCAAGTGTGTGTGTCATCGCCACCGTGTCTTTTTTCAACGAGGGACCATTGCAAACACGCAGGTGTACGGGGAGCTGCAGAGCAGCCGCCTCTGCCAAATCCCGTTTCTTGAAACCTCTGGCCTGCCGAACAGGTGGTGTTAACCCAGCCACTGTCTGCCACCCTGTTGTATTGTTTTGGTTTGGTTTGGTGTGTTGTTTAACTAACAAGTAAAGGTTGTTTATTTATATAGTGCATAACGTGCAACGTTTTGCTATACGTACACATTGAGGAATGGCTAAATCGCACTAATTAGTGTATGCATTGTCTCACATACTTAGCACCTTTTGTGGTGAGAGCACTTTAAATCTCTCAGCGATTTTCAAGAATACGATACATTGTTATTAACTGCAGTGACCATGATGTACAATATATCTCTTGAGTTTATTCCCCCATTTAACTGAAATTTCGTGTCCTTGGACCAATATCTCCCCAACCCCCACTCCCCTCCCGCCTCTGGTAACCACCCTTTTACTCTCTGCTTCTATGAGTTCAACTTCTCTAGATTCAACACATAAGGGAGGTCATGCGGTATTTGTCTTTCTGTGCCTGGTCCTGCCTGGTTTTTCGTCAATCAAAGCAAAATATCTACCAGAATGTCTGATCACCATGAGAGAGCGAGGGTGGCCAGAGTGAGGGTCCCTTGCCAGCCCACGGCCCTAAAGCTCGAAGCTATCATGACTTCGGGCAAAGGCAATGTACACGGCTTCTTTGGTGAGATAATGGAAATGACTCTTGGAACCAGAGACCCAGAGATCCTGGGCTGGAAACCCCTCATGCGTCCCAACTGTGATATCACAGATGGGGAAACTGAGACTCAAGAGGCCTGGGGCCCCCTCCCCCACTAAGGGTTCATGCACAGCACCCACCCACCTCCTCCTGAGCCCTGGGCAGGGTGGGCACCTACCTCCAAAGAGGAAGAGAGTCCCAGTGAGCAGCAGGAGGAGGTAGGCACGGAGGAGGAAGCTCAGAAACCCCATCATCCCCCCGAAAACCATCAGGATCAGGCTGAGAGGCAGGAGAATCACAAACATCCCATGCATGGCTTAGAAGAGACAGAGAGCACACCAGGCAGGAGGGTTACTACAATCCTTCATTCAGTCAACAAACATTTCCTGAGCACTGACTATGGGCCAGCCCCCGAATGCTGGGGGCAGGGGATCTACACTACTATCACTACCCCCACCACTACCACTATGACTCTTTCTAATGATGATGATGGTGACGACAGCAATAGTGACAGGAGCTCCTCGTGTGCAAGGCTGTGTGCCTGACAAGCATCATGTCACTTAACCCTCACGGGCCCCTCCAGGGAGGCATCCTTATTGTTGTTCACTCGCTTATTCACTCGTGTGGACGCAGAGGCGTAAACCAAGATCCCTGCCCTGCTGGGGCGGCATCCTAGGAGCAGAGTCCAGCAGGAAATAACCAGTAAATGGCAATGCTGAGAGATGGGCAAATACAGGGCTCAGGGATGAAGCCGTGGGGGTGGCCGGGGTGCCCCCAGGGAAGGGACATTTGAGCAAAGCCCTGGAGGAGGCGGCAGGGAGGCAGGGGCCACAGGTGCAGAGCCCCCGAGCTGGTATCATGACTAGTGCAATGGAGGCGCCTGGGGAAGGCAGGGAAGTGGCAGGGCGAGCAAGGAGACGAAAGGAGACACAGGCAGAGGGTGACTGGGGCAGAAGAACCAGGGGATTTAACTCAAGTTGGCAAAGGCTCGCGCTGGTGGCTATATTGGGAGTGGACGGCAGAGGGGTGTCGTGGGTTGAATAGTGACTCCCAGTGCGTCTGTCCACCCAGACCTGAGGAGGTGATCTTATTTGGAAAAAGGTCTTTTGCAGATGTGAGCTAAGGATCTCATGATGAAATCGTCCCGGAATGGGGTGGGCTCTACGTCCAAGGAGTGGTGTCCTTAGAAGAGAAGAGAAAAGGACGCAGAGGAGAGGGTGACGCGAGGACAGAGGGGATTGCGGTGACGCAGCCGCAAGCCGAGGGATGCCCAGGATTGCCGGCCACCACCAGAAGCCAGGAGAAAGAGGGAACAGATTTTCCCTCAGAGCTTCCAGAGGGACCAACCCTGCCAGCGCCCTAATTTTGGACTTCTGGCCCCGGCACTGCGAGAGAATAAACTTCTATTGTTTTACGCCACCCACTTTGTGGTCATTTGTTATGGCAGCTCGCGGGACAAGCTGGGAGCACAGAGACCTCAGGGCGATTCTTGCAAGAGCCCTGGTACAGGGTGACCGTGGCCAGGGTGGGAACAGCAAGCAGCAGGGTGGTGAGAAGTCAGATTCCGGGTAAATCTTGACGGTAAAAGAGGCCACAGCCTTGACCCTTAAAGGGTGTGAGAGAGAGAGGCACGAGCACCAGAGCGAGATTCAGGGCTGAGCTCTGGGCGCAGGGAGTTTCCACCTGCCGGGGCAGGGAAGATGAGGGAGGGAGGGGCTGGGTGGGGAGGACGGCGTCAGGACATGCTGAGTTTGAGATGGATGCCACGGGCCAGTGCTCAGCAGGTGGTCTGGGATGGGGCTGTGACCTGGGAAGCTGACGCACACGCATGTGTTTAGAGGCACGAGACTAGGTGAGGTCTTGCAGGGGAGAGAACAGAGGGGCAGAGAAGTGACCAAGGACTGAGCCCAGGAAGCTGCAACATGTGCACGTCAAGAAGGAAGGAGGAGCCCGGGGTTCAGAGGGGCCAGGGAGCATCCTCCCTTCCCAGTGGGCGACTCCTGTGCCTCCCCCAGTTCACAGGGTGTCCGGCCTCCTGCCAGCACCAGCTGAGTTGCAAAGATGTTTGAAACTCAATCCCCAGGGCAAGCTGAGGACAGTGACAGGCAGGGGTGAGCAGGTGGCAGGGGGTGGAGGGACATCGCATAAGGTCTGTCACCAGTGTTCTGTCCCCGGCCCCAGCCCCCAAAATTGTAGGTGTCCTGTGAGTCTGAGGCACATGACTGATTTTGCACTGGGCCGTCCTCCCTGGGCTGTCACAGGATGAAATGTGATTACAGGGGACAAGACGTCGGTCTTTCTCCCTTTCTTTCTTTTTCAAGGAAAAAACCTTGTGCAGGGAAGTAGAACAGCCGGTGTGAGAACCTGGTCCTGTAAGTTCTATCCCCTGCACGCCTTCACCTCCAGACTACAGCCGAGAAATGAAATCAGTTCTCATTTAGAAATTAATGAGGTTTCCCAGAGTTGGTGCAGCCCTGGCGGCCCTGCGTGAGTTCCCCAGACATGCTGCAAGCTGACTTGATGTACGCGTTCAATTAAATGCCTGGGAAAGAACAGGCTCCCCGTGGGACAGTTGTAAAACCTCCTGCTGAAATTTGGTTTGGCTTTCTTTGTGCCTGTGTGCCTTATTCGTTGCTTTTTTTTTTTTTTTTTTAATTTCTAGGATTGTGTTCCTGGAACAGGAATATCGATTCCCAGTTCTGTTCTCCTTGGAAATGTTCCCATCTCCAACCACATCTCTAAATGTGCCTGGGGAAGATGTTCCCCTTTGAGATGTGGATCTGATAAAGTAATCGATTTCTGGAGCTGGGATATTCAGGAGGTGGTGTGTATGCAGTTGTTGGGGGGGCGGGGACAGCCAAAAGACCACCCACTAAGAGTCTGAGTCTGCTACATGCAAGCTGTGTGACTTTGGATAAATGACTAGACCACTCTGAGCCTCACTGACAAAATAAGAGTGAAATCCCCTGCCCACTCATCTCCTAAAGCTTACTAAATTCGACAGACATGCAGAGGGCATCTGCTGTGAGTCTGGCTCCATGCTAAGCAGTGTGGGGATAAAAATTAATAAGTCACTGACAGTTCCTCTCTTGTCATATTGATGGAGTACCTGTATGATTTATCATCCAAACCACGACATTTGAGAGTCGATCACCAATAGTTATTAAATTCTCTACTATGACCATAGGCATATGCCGGGATGTCAGGGCAAACCAGGACAACCAGGTCACCCCAAATAGCCATTTATTGTTCCAGCAAACATTTACCCAACACCTGCTGCCTGTGCCTCCCGGGGCTCCAATGTCAGCTCTGTCACCTGCCAGCGGAGGGGTCTTAGGCAGGTTATTATGTAACATTTCAAACCTCAGTTTTCTCATCTACTAACTGGAAATATTCAGGTATCCATGTCACCGGATTGTGTGTTGAGGATGAAAGAAAGCAGCCAAACCTCTTGGAACAGCGCTTGTCACCTAATAAGCCTGATACACCTGTTGGTTATTATTGTTAGTGTTGTTTTTTTGGCCTGGTACTGTGCTACCTAAATGAAATAGTGTGTGTGAAAGCTTACAAACCTTTTAGTAACACAGGAATCCTGTTACAACCAAACTCAGATCTGGGGCCATGAGAACCGATTCCCACTCGGCAACGAGCCTCTAATGAGCCCCCGTGATGGGGAGGAAGAAATGTCCCCCGACGTCTGGGAACGGGCCTAGTGCCGTAGCTGGACCGCAGTGCTCTCCTGTTGGATGTGATCTCACTGAGCTCCAGCATCAGACAAGGCTGCTGAGACCACAACACAGTGAGAACAAGCGAGGCCACTTCACGGTGCTGTCTGAGCACAGGCAAAAACCAGGCCTGTGCCACCCACAAAGTACCCGCTTCTCCCAACTAACATGATTGCCACTTCCTTCTCCACCGCAGCTTTAGCCATGCTCCCTATAGTCTGCCTCCCTATAAACAGGATTGATTGAGACATTCAGTCAGAACTGTCCCTACTTCCTGACACTACCCAGTTCAGAGCAAACCCCTGCTTCCTCAGACCCCCTCCAAAATCACCCAATCAAAACCCAAATCCTGTAACAACCTCCTACTGACATTTTCCCTATGGTGTGTGTTCTCCTCTGTTGCAATGAGCAGTAAACCCCAACTTATTCAACTACAAGTGGTCCCTGGTGGTCTTTGGCTGGAGGACTACAGGCACTGGTAAGGGGGGAGGGCGTGATGGAGTAGGTCAGAGGTGGGGAGGAATCGAAGACCAGCAAGGCCCAGGAAATTTCTTTCCCAGGATGTATTTTTGCATACTCCTGAACGCCCAAAAACTTGCACACAGCCTGGAACATAGTATGTGCTCTATGTGCAATGGATGGCTTAATTAATGAATGACAGAAGGAAGGAAGGAAGGAAAGCAGGAGGGAAGGAAGGAAGGAGCAAACTGAGTATTTGCTGAGCATCTAATACATGCAATATTTGGGGATAAGTATCGTAGAGGTACAAAGTTGAATCATGCATGAATTCTGCCTCCTTGGAACTTATAATCTAGAAAGAAAGTTCAAGTGTAGACATAAATTGCTGTAATATCAGGTGAAAGTGATGTCTTAAGAGATTCAGGGCTGGGCACGGTGGCTCACGCCTGTAATCCTAGCACTCTGGGAGGGTGAGGCAGGAGGATCACGAGTTCAGGAGTTCGAGACCAGCCCGAGCAAGAGCGATACCCTGTCTCTACTAAAAATAGAAAAAATTAGCCGGGCATGGTGGCGCACACCTGTAGTACCAGCTATTCAGGAGGCTGAGACAGGAGGATCGCTTGAGCGCCGGAGTTCGAGGTTATAGTGAGGTATGATGACGCCACAGGCACTCTAGACGAGCAACAGAGCAAGACTTTGTCTCAAAAAAAAAAAAAAGATTCATAAAGGGAAGAGCAGAATACTTGGGTTCAGAAGCAAGCTTCCTAATTCTTGGGTTTCCATCTCAGTTCTATCATTCCCTGTTGGTGGTCTTGGGGGGAAAGGGTCCTGGGTCTGAGGCCAGCCAGACACACTGACTCACCATGTGACCTCAGGGGAGTCCCTTTATTCCTGGCAGCCCCCATTTTCTCACCTGTAAAAGGGGGATACCACGGCCTCCCCGCAGAGTGGTCATCCCTATGGCCAATGTTTTCAAAAGCACCAAACACAGCGCTGGGCACGCACGTTCATTCATAAACAGACACCCGTGCATCTGCGGCAGAAGCTGGGGACAGCGCAGTGGACAAGGCCGTGCCCTCGCAGAGCTCACAGTCTGGTGCAGGAGAGAGCTCAACCAGGAAATGAGGGAACG